CCCAAATCCTTTCTTCTTTCACAAGCTTCAATAGCGCGGCACGGACCAGGTACCCCTACTACCAACCTTAGCTGTACCTGTACCTCACAGCAACCTTGAAACAAAACAACAGCAGCATCTGTTGGAGGCTACCTTTCTGCTCGCGCCGCCGCCTTCTCACTTCGAGGCCAGATCTCCATCATTATCTTCATTGCCTTCATCATCTTCCTTCTTCACTGCCTACCATGCATCAGCCTCAGTCTCAGGATCAGCCTCAGGACCAGGATCCGGAGCTCCATCTGGAGGAGCATGCCGCCATGCCCCCTCTGCCTGATGCTGAACGCGTTAGTGCTACCCTCAGCTCCAGCTCCAGCTCCACTGTCTCCTCCATCAACAACGGTGGTCCTTTGGGCCAAGACAGTCACCGTCTTGGAGGCGATTCCGCTCAGAGCAACCATGGTAACGACGATGTGGCCGCCGCCGCCGTTCATGGAGACGCGCCATCTGTCCTGCCTACCCTGCCCGACTCCTCTTACTATCCCGGGCTCAACTTCTCACTCCTCGCCCGCTCACCCGCCGCCAGTTACGAGAACGGCGTTGGTCAGGCCAGGGAACGGAACCGCGTTGGTCTTCAGGCCAGCGTTTACTTGCCTGACCACAAGATCCTGACCCGCATCGGCCAGCATCCCGTCGTGCGCCACTAGGAGGGTGCCGACGGATGCCTGGAGCGACTTCTTACTGAGGTGCGCGCCCAGCTTGGCGGCCATTGGAGCTTTGCTGGCCTCTTTCGCATCGGCTGGGCCGATGTTGATGCCGCCGCCTACTTCCCTGATCGCCCGGTGACGTTCCTTGTGATTATCCGTGCAGATTCTGTTTTGAAAGATGTGTCTGTCGCTACAGAGTTGGCTGTGTGCTGCCACGAGATCTTTGCGAGGTATGGGGACCCCCCCCTTTTCCTAACTACACAGTCCCTGATTGACGCACACACCGGTGATATGAACCAAAAAAAACTGACCTCTTCTTCAATCCAAGTCTCGGGTTTGGCGACATTGCCGTTGAAATTGCCCAGTTTGAGGCCACTCCATGCAACGAGAACGACGATGCTCGCCTTCGAGATCGAGATGCCGACGATCGCGCCTGGTGTCCCAACAACGACTTGGAGCATGACTTCGGACGCGACCCTGCCATCGGGCGTAGCATCGGTGTCAAGGGATCGGATAGCTCGGCGACGCTATGTGGCTATGTTGGCATCAATGGCCAGGTCTTTGGCCTGACCTGCCACCACGCCGTAGCTTCGGACAGTAAGTTCCGCGTATTTTCTTTCCTTCCTCATATTCTCTCTTTGCGGCCGAAACACCTCCACTTGTCCCATAGAACACTGACAGAATCACCAGAAGCACGCCTAGATGCCATCCCGGTTTCCGCTGATCCACTCGTCGTCGAGAGCCCGTCGCCCACAGAGCAGCGAAGATGGAAGATCTGGCTGGAAGATCAAATCACCGAGGCGACTTGTTTCATGGTCAACCTGCAGGATAAGAGAGACTTCGCGGCATACAACAACCTGCCCTTCACGCAGCAACAGCAGGATTCTTTGGCCATGTGGGAACACCACGTCAATGTGTTGACGGACCAGCTTCTGCGCGTAGACAATGCCTCCCCTAGTCTGGGCACGGTGCTGATGTCGTCGGGTCTTCACGACAAGGTCAATGGCGCCTTTGTCCCTGATTGGGCGCTTATCGCGCTGGATGAAGAGCGTTTCACACAGAGAGAGGCGCTTAAGAATGTAAGTTTGTTTGAGCATGTCCTTTTTAGGCAGACTTCTGTTCCTCTTTTTTTTTCCAATGGCTTTTATCCACCTCTCGTTTTCGTTTTCCGTTTCACCACAAATATCAATTCATGAAAATGTATTTGAATGTCCCGACCACATTAGCTAACCTCTGAGTGCCAAACAGGTATTCCCCGACTTCGGCCGCAAGGAGTATATCACCCCACCCAGCATCAACCGTGTCTTCGCCGACTCCACATTCCACTCGACTACCAAGCTCGCCACTAAGCTAGCCAACGGCAAACACAACGGCAAGGTCTTCAAGATTGGCCGCACAACCGGCACGACGAGGGGCGTGCTGCATGAGGTGTGCGTTGTGACGGTCAAATATCAAAAGGGCAGCGGCAGCAGCACCAGCACCGGCGACAAGGAGGTGGCCGTCGAGACCAAGGCATGGGCCGTCACCGACGCGAAGGACAGGGACGGCCTCTTCGCGGTTCGAGGGGACTCGGGCGCGGCGGTCGTGGACGCCCTCGGCGTCGCTGTCGGCATGATAGTCGCGGAAGGCAGGGACCAGCTGAAAGGCATTCCGTCGTGCCTCACCTTTGTCATACCCATGGAGGAGATACTGAACCACATTGCGGTGCGCTATACGGAGATGCTCGACCAGGGCCAGGGCCAGGGCCAGGGCCAGGGCCAGGGCCAGGGCCAGGGACAGGAAGGCGAAGACGGAGCTACTAATGCTTTGTGTGTCAAGTGGCTCTAGGTTACAGTTATGGCGGCACAGTCCCAGACTGGAAATTGCTTACAGTGTACGATTCTTGCATACTGATTCGGGCGTCGTTTCCAGAGATCGTAGAATTTGCTAGAGTTAGTTTCTTCTAGTTGATTTGAATCTTTTCATTTCAATGAGAGATTGAGAAAAATAAAAGGAACACATCAGATTTCCCAGATTCGTCCCCACCCCCTTTGACGTGATGCGAAGAAACAAGGCCGGCTGACTCGCCCCCATATGATCAAGTGCTTCCTGGTCCGTCTTCTCCACCGGGCTAGCAGCAGCATACCCACTCACTCTCACTCTACACAGCTCCTCCATTCAGCCTCATATACAACAGAAACAGATGACCCTCGTCACGGATTGGACAGACCATGAACCTAGGGACATTGGGGGCTTCCCTGGTCCCGTTGGGCCCGCCGGAGCTCACCGCTCGGCCGCGGGTCTGGCAAGTAAGTATGTATGTGATTATGTACGTTGATCGTTGCTCGCTACATAAGCCGGGGGCTGACGAGCTCGCGCGTCCGCGATCGCGATCGAGTGAGCAGGCACCGTGGATCGCATCATGGAATTTGCTCCAGCCGAGTCCCCAGTCTTGCATCCCTGCCCCGATGCATCATCCAGCGCGCGCCCCAACTGCACCCAACTGCGATTGCAACTTACGGGTATGTTTATGTTGCCCGGTGGCGAGCGAACCCAAGCTCTGCCTCTCTCTCTCCCTCTCTTCTGCGCTGCCCCCAGTATCAGCCACAGCTGGATGTGCCGCACCGGTCCGACCGGGCATCAATCGCCAGCCATCCATCAAGGACCGCTCTCCGCAACATCCATCCCCACGTCCCGTTCCGTTAGCTCTAAGTACCTAGTCAGCGACCCCTCCGTGATTTGACGACATAATTATTACTTCCTAACAAGGTGCCTCCCGGTTCTATACAGTACGCACAGCTATCATACGAATAGCTACGTACAAGGGCCTTACAAGTATGCGACAAGTCTCGTGCGACAACGCTTGACGCATGGACTCTATCGTACGAAGAGCGCAACCTAATGGTGAGTAAGAAGCCATACATGATAGATCCAGATCGCTGACAACCGCGTGTCCAAGACTTCAGCCTACGACCGTGATATCTAAGGTTGGGTCATCCTACTCCAAACATTCTTCGTCACACATATAAACACCATGCATTCTACCATACATGTACGCTTCGTGCATAGGACCTCGTGCCGCTTGGCAGAATTTGACAATCTTTAACGGTGAGCATGAACTTAGCCACCTCCTTTGAGTGAGAGATAAATGGTAGGGTTATGATAGTCAGTATCGATAACAATACCGGTGCAAACTAACTCGTGTAGCATGCTCAGGGTAAGGAACTCTAGAAAAAAAGAAGTGTATGTGTTAACATATACTCTTGAAGGAATGCCATACACAGAATCTGAATCTATCTTAATCTATTGAGTTCCCCACCAACCATCTTCTCAAGGCCTCTTATGCTACGCCTCAACCTCAACAATCGGGGTTACGCAGTGATATTCTCCAGTACAGAAGCACTATCTGAATAGATTTTATGGTTTAAATCACCACATCATCCAGTTCCCAGTCCCAAACCAAGTAAGACATAGCAGCACATATCCGTCAGCCTTTGAGCGCCCAAGCAAAGCCATCACTTTCGAGCAAACATAAGTTACATTTGCTAGTGCCTGGTGCTATAGATCGAATTTGAGTGTCAATAGATCAAGGGCTATAGTCTCATTAGGATACTCATAACGTGAAGCTCTCGAGAATATGTTGTTTTAAGCACAATAAATAGGCAACCTTAGCTAGGACCTATGCGCTAGGGTCACGATCGACGACCCTAAGGGGGCTCATGGCAGCAAATCGGTTTTGCGCATTCAAAACAAGGTTAAATAAGAATTAGCTTGATTGTGAATCTCGTGTACTCCGTTAATCTATACCTTCCTACCAGCAGTAACAGCATCTTTGCCTTGTTCTCTCCTGAGGTATCTAATTCCGTTTCGCTCGAGCGAGACAGCAATAGCGTCGTCAAAGTAATAGGAAAGCTAAGGCTTCCCAGAACAGTTCTCGAATAGCACAATAGCTTCTTCATACTAGAGGGAAACATAGTTAACATAATCCTAAATATCGGGGTTTTCCTCTTTTACTGCCGCATTCCACAGGCATGCACAGTGTGACATCTCGAGTGCGATTTCGACAATAAGCCACACACCATACCTCATGCATTAGTCTACCGACCGACTCTATGCTTGGTACCCCCAGAGACCACATCTCTAGCGACGGATCGTCGGGCTGCAAAGCTTCATACGAGGACAAGTTCATGGGTAACCAGGTCGACACGACGCCTACCAAGTGGATGGCGGAAGAAGATAGAATAATCCGTAAGATGAATAAACGGGGCTATGTATGGTACGAGATCAATAAGGCTCTACCCCATCGAACGAAAGGCTCGATTCAGGTGCGAATACTTTACTAAAGTGAAAGACTGAAGGTTGTCAAAACAGTATCGTATTTAGAATGTTATGGAAAACCACGTATTGTCCATTACCTAGATCCATCTTGTGACGCACTAGGAAAGGCAATTAGAAAAGGCCGGCAGTGATTATCGATGCGAAAAGACAAGAAAAGTGGGCATGGTTCTCTATCTGGACACCGCAGGCTCAACGTTTGCCTCTGCGTCGGTGACGGAAAGTGCTTGACGCACGGCTCCAATTGTGTTCACTCGAGCTAAGTCGGTTGCTTTACCTGAGCAAATGGGGACCCAATCAAAGCCTTAGTCGAGAACTGGCAGGACTATTGCCATGTAGCTATTGGGCGACAGTCAGTATGTATTGCCCTCTCCCTCCGTCCTCCCGTTTTCCCCTTTCCTTTTCCCCAAAAGTCTCAAGACCCGAGAGCCAACCAAGTTCAAGGAATACCCCCCAAAAAAATGGATGGGAAGCATGTCATTGGCCCTGGGTGAGATAACCTTTCGTGTCAAGTACAGGCAATCCAAACGATTGAGGAGAAGGACTATATATATAGCGTACTCTTTCCTAGACTAAGATATGGCTATATTACCATCCGCTTCACTAATTGTGGTATACCAACGTGATGTGACAGGTTATTAGAAAGTCCAAGGTAGATGAATGAAGCTATATGACAACTCGTTAAGTTGTTCTAGGAGCCTTCTTCACTGGTCAACTATGTCGTGTGGGTCTAAGTCATGTCGTACATAGTAGTCAAGGCTGAGGAAAAACATCTATCCTCGACCTGCGCCGTCATTTATCTCGTACTTAATCAAACAATGCTTCCTTGTCCAAGCCTCGTCAACCAGACAACTCCCATACCGGCTTAGCACCTGACCGTGAAGCCTGAGAAGTCATCATATGTGGTTCTTCTGCAGCACTGAGTTGATAAACCTGCAGCTGCATTGGGTTTACATTGTATGCGTTCTTGTGTGCATGAGAACCGTCGGGCGGGATCGGAGCAGGATCATGCCTTCGACGGCGACGGCCGAGAAAGAAAGCACCTAGAGCTAAGAGAGCAACCCCTATAATAGCGCCAATAACGATGCCCACAATGCCCCCTGTGCTCAGGTCATTTCCGGACGAAGGAGCTGCTGAGCCGGTGCTCGTTTCTGAGGCTGGGGTAGTTGCGCTGCCTTGGGTCTGCTGTGTGGAGGATGCTGTACTTGACGATGTAGTCGTTGAGGATGCAGATGCCTGTAGATATGTCTTAGACTTTACTTGGGACAAGTCACTAGATCGACTTACAGCAATGAACTTGATTCCCCATGCCTCAATGCCCTCGTTCGTGGAAGGGGTGCGCGTGACTGGTTCTTCTGTTGGGGTGGCCAGCCCGATGTCTGTAATTACGCCTGTCCAGACAGCACCTTCCGTAGCTGTTGCGTGGCATCCGTATTCGTTATCCTGACACATGAAAGAGAAAACATCGCCAGTAATGCTGCGCTTGTCAAACTTAGGACCGTGCTTACGAAGTTAGAGCAGCTCACCTTGGACAACAAGTTATTGTACTGATTGACTGACCATCAGCGACGCCTCCCGTTGCACATGCTTTCGTGTAACCAGTCGGACACCCACCATAGGTCAAATAGGGGACGTCTATCGTGAAAGATGGGGGAAAGCAATTACCCATAGGCGTGTTGCCGGTCAGGACTGGAGTGGGAGTCCCGTACATGTTGCTAAAAAATCCCGATCCAAGCAACACCAGGTAGTAGTTCGTGCTGGCGAAGCACGTCGTCGGTGCGACCCATGTTGATGGAATGGTCGGCAGTGAGCTGAGAGACATGACTGCCTTGACACCGGCCCCAAGGCCTATGGTTGTTCACGGAAAGCAAAATGATTTCAGGCGTTGAACCCTATGATTACACGACAGCAAGGAAGCAGGGCATCCCGAGCAAAATATCAGTCCGAGCCAAGAAGCGCAAGCGCTGTTGTGCGCGGCCTTTATCAGACCTAGTAGATGGCAGGACAAGAAAACGCCAAGACCAGGCCGCTTTTGGGCTTGCAGGAGGATGTCCTCTGCTCGCTCAGGTGCGGGCGGTGTTAATCCGAATAACAACAGGATACCCAACCCAAGATGACGATGGAGCCTTTTCCACATGAACAGCAAGACCTCACATGAGAAAGAGCATTGGAGATAAAACAGGCTTGTTCTGCATATAATTAACACACAAGTTTCCCGCTCTTCCTCCTTCTTCCGCTGGGTCTCGGTCTCAGCAGTACCCTTCTCTTTGATTATTCGGAGCCTCAACTGTCTCAAAGCCGTCTCATTGATTGTGACGCTCGCAGCCCACGTTATTACAATGTTTCGGGCGAAAGTGACGTTTTGGGGATTGAAGGGCCTGCGCCGCTGGTCAATGCATGCCACAGACCAATCAGAGCCCGATCGCAAAGCTGTTGGTAGATAGCCCCGTTTGAATAACCGTATGGTTGCATCTGAGGTGGATAGATATAGCAAATAGAAGTGGCGCGCGGCA